CATTTATAGTTCGTCTGAACAGTACAAACATAGTATCTGCGTGTTTCATTGCAGTTGTTAAAGCAATATCTGTTCTTGCACCTGCGGTTCCTGGATTTTGGTTTCCAACTTCACCTGCAAAGTCTTTGACAGATATTTGGTGTATAGGGAACATAAGTGGAACTGCAATATATTTGGCAGCTAAAGCATTTGAAATATCTGGGTCCAACATATAGACTGCAAGTCTGCTTTCTATTCTCTTGCATTCAAACTTTTCGCATGTGAACTTAACTGGGTCCCAAGCAGTTCCAGCAGCATTGAAATAATAGTTTACTTCATTGTTGAAGTTTGAGAAACCAAAGTCTAAGTCAACTTTGTCTTTGCAAAATTCGGCGAATGACGTTTGATTTGTTCCCTTTACGTCTGTAATAGTGAATGGGTCTTGTGTTGGTGCAATGACTAAGTTATTTTTGCTTGGAGTAAGTTCGATAGAAATTTTTCCTGCCCAGTTTGGCAAGTATCTTAAAAACCTGAAGATGAGGAAAGATGACAAAGGAACTCTAAGTTTCAGTTTACTTTGGTTACTGCTGCTGCAGTTTGTCCAGAAAGGTTAATATAAACTCCTGGAACGTTAGGGTCAAGTCTTCTTATTTTCTCAATAGTTGCATACTGGTCTGTTTGTTCTCTAGCTTGTGGTTGTACTGAGTTTCTCAAAGCGAACCATTCATAGTTTGCCCATGTTACTGTTTGAACTAAGTCAGAGTTAGAATATATCTTATATCCCATGAAAACTTCTGGAGCATATTGGTATCCGACATAGAAAATTCCATTGCAACCTTTCTTGTCAGACAACTTGGCAGAAGGTTTTATTTCAATGTCTTGTTCCACGTATAAGAATGAGTTGTCAATAGAAATAATATGAAACCTGTCGCAAGCAATATCTACTGTTGTTGAAGAACCTTCTCCAAACTCACCTACGTTTCCATAAGAAACAGCAGTTGTATATTCGTAAGTTCCAGGAACTATTTCTGACCTTCTAATGGCATTGTCGCATTCGTTATACCATTCGGAAACATTTCCATTCATGGCATCCAAAACTGTTGGCGTTATATTCTGAGCGGCGTACATTTCATATGGGTAAAAATATAGAATAGTTGGATTTATATATCATAATAGAACCCACGTGGTACAAGCTTTTACTTTGTTCTACTCTTCTTCTTTGGTGTCGCTTTTGGTAACTTGCCCTCTGCTTCAAGTTGTTGCATCTTTGCCTCATGTTCACCTAGTATGTTGTAAATTTCCCATGTCCTTTTTGCCTTTGGGCTCTGGTCGCCCATCTCAGGTAACCTATATCCTAGAAAGATTTCGTCATAGTTTGTATTTGAGTCTTCGCGTATTGTTTGCATGACTCTTTCCTGAGTTTCCGGTTCAAGCTCTTCAAACAGAGCTTGTCCATATGGAATAAGCTCGTTTCCAAATATATGTTTTTGTAGCCATTCTGGTTTTCTTTCCATGTTACCAATAATATCTTTTGTGAATGGGAAAGCTTTTACCCAATGTTTCAGTCTTGCGTCATTTATTTCTGTAGTTGGTTTTATTTTGTCAAGGAACATGTTTTTCAATACTAACATTTCATTTGGTACTGTCCATTTGAGTTTTCTTAAAATTCATCCCTTCTCGGTTCATTGTCTGCAAAGTAAGTTTTATGACATTTTGTAAACTTTCGTTTGCAAGGTCATGTACAATAGGTTCTCTTCCTTCTTTCTCCCTAACTTTCTTTCTAAACTCTTCACCAAATATACCATCTCTATGGTTCTGTGTAGTTCTTTGAGATAAATGTTTTAGAACGTCAGGTGTTATATTTCCATCAGCCATGTTCATTTCATACTGGTCCAAAATATCTGCATCTTTCATATCTTTCAATGGCATTAAAGCCGCGCTGAAAATACCAGCTACATCTGGTTCACCATTCACTTCCATTGCGTCTACAACTTCTTGGAATTGTGGTTGTAAGTTTATGAACCACCTATCCGGATTAGCTTTATGACCCCATCTCATTGTAGTTCCATCGTCTGCAGAAACAAAAGTAGGTTTGTTTCCATATTGGCTAGGTTCTGAATGAACTTTAAACAATGTTTCATTTCTATATGTTTTGGTGAAATTTAACCTTTTATTTTCACCGAGTTCATCCGAAGATTGAACGTTATATGCTCGTAAGTAAAAAGGATTGTTGTATTTGCGTACACTTTCTTTCAGTTCTTCCATTCTATGCTGGATATTTTCATCTGATGTTGGAGTCTTTTGTATGTCGGCGAACATTTTTCGATATTCTTCTACTATGTCAGCCGAATTTTTCTTAGACTCTTGGAAAGATTCCATATTCTCCGCATACACTTGTTGAGGGTCAAGATTTTTCGGCTGTTCCAAATCTTCATCTAGTTCTGTGAAGTTAGTTTCCAAAGGAGGGACTTGTTCGTTTCCTTCTGGCTCTTCTAGCTGTTGTTGCTGAACTATTTCTTCCATGTCTGGTTGTATCTGAACTTCTTCCTGTGGAGTTTCTTGTACCTCATCTGCTGGCATTTCATATATTCCGAGACCGTTTTCAACAATTTCCCTATCTACGTCATCCGTACTCATAACCCTTTCTTCTTTCGTTCCGTCTCTATTTTTTACGCGTTTCATGACGAAAGTTGTATTGTCATTTAGCTCTGACATCAAATATCTCGGAGTAAATTCGTTCATGTCATTTGGATGATATGCTATTAAATCATATCCCTTAGCGAGCTTGTATTTTCCAGGTTTGAGATTATATCCTTTTTGGTGCTGAGCCATAAAGCTAAATAGGTTCGGGTCAGTATTTCCATCCTTGAACTTTCTAATAGCTTCTTTATATCTGTCACTAAAGTCAACAGTATCTGGGAAATCACACTTTTCTTTAAGCATTTTTAAGAATTCTTGGTTTCCTTGTTCTCTACTTCTTTTATGTCCTTGTTGTGTTGGTTGTTGTTGTTGTGCTGGATTTTGAACTGTTGGTTGTTGTGTTGGTTGTTGTTGTTGTGCTGGATTTTGAACTGTTGGATTTTGAACTGTTGGTTGTTGTTGTGGTGCATGCCTGTGTCTGTGTCCATGTGACGATGTAAATGTTTTAGGTAGTCCTGGTGCAGGTGCTTCTCTTGGAGGGTTTGGTGGTATATAAGTTCCACTAGCTAGTATATAAGTTCCACCAGCTGGTATATAAGTTCCACCAGCTGGCACATATGTTCCATCTGCAGCGTAATGTCCTACCTGACTTTTCGTTCTTAAGAAAGCATTTACTAGGTCTGTTTTGGTCTGTTGTAACTCTTTTTCTTGACTTTCCACAACAGTTGCTCTAACGGCGTCATAGGCACTTTGAACTGCCTGTCTCGTTGCTGCATCTGTTATTTTCGTCATATTTTGTGCTACTTCTCTTAACTCTTTGTCGAAACCTTCAGACTTCAGTTTCTTTCCAGATGAGAAGTCGTTCACTAGTTTCACCTTACTATGAAGAGCTTCGAAGGCGTTCTTAAAGTCAGCATTCGTTAAAGCTTCATTTGAACTGTCTTCATCCGCTTGTATTTTTGTCCTTATTGACCCTATAAGCTGGGCTGCTTTAGCGTTGGCTTGGGCATCTAACCAGTCATTGTTAGCTTTTATATATTCTGCGCTTTTCATTGCCTTTTGCATGGCTGCGTCGTTATTTTTACTTTCTTGTGCTAAGTTTTCATACTGTACGGTTTGGTTTTGCAACTGTAAAAGTTTTTCTGCCTTTACATTTGCTTCAACTTCTTTTTTATACTCATCGCTATCCATATATGTCTTCAGGGCTTTTTGTTTTATCTCTTCATCTTTCAGTACTTTATATTGAGTAGTATGGTTTTTCAAATTTATGACATCTTGTTCCATTTTTGCTACTTGCTGCTTTTTCTGACACTTTTTTCGCATATTCCTCTGTACTTAGTTCTTTCAGTTGTTCTTCTTTCTTCTTTTTCTCTACGTTTAACTCATTGAGTTTCTTTGTGTGTCTGTCATATTCTAGTTTCTTTTCGTTTTCACTTATTTGTTTCTGTATGTCTATGTTTGACTTTTTGACATCTGTTATTTGATTTTTGAGTGAACTCAAATTCATTTGACTTTGAGGGTTATAAGCTGTTCCGTCTGCAGCTCCACCATAGCCTGCCATTTTCGCTAAAAGTGCCGCTCTTAAACCTCCACTCTGTGCACCTATAACTCGGTTTAAAAGCATAGGGTTGCTTGACATTTGTTGCAACATAGTGGGGTCATTCAGCATTTGTTGTTGCAACTGTTGTTGTGGTGTCAGTTTTACTATTGGATGTTTCAATGCTCCCTTCCTCTTACGTATATTCTTACGTATCTTACGTGGCATTTTAAGTGAAGTTAAAAACATTTACGATGAAGAAGTTTCGACAAAACATTTACGAAGAAATTCATGAAAATTCATGAAAATTCATGAGGTGAGAAAAGAGGTGAAAAAAGAGGTGACATCTCACCTCTTCACCTAAATTATATTTTTGGGTCATTTACGCTCATTACGATGAAGTTTCGACAAAACATTTACGAAGAAGTCTTGACAAAACATTTACGAAGAAGTCTTGACAAAACATATACGAAGAAGTCTTGACAAAAAAATCAACGGCTGGTCGGCTGGGGTTCGGTCCTCCTCTTGGGTCTTGGGAAAAATTCTTAGGGCTAGAAGGCACGAAGTGCCTGGAAGCCCCACTACTTTTTTTTTTTTTTTTTTTTTTTTTTTTTTTTTTATATGACTCCTTTTTTCTTGCTAGAAATGGCTAAAATTAGAAACAGAGACGATAGAAGAATTTAAGTCGGATTTGATGGATGTGCCACGCATACACTCTAGTCCAAATTTCGATTTTATGTATGAGGTGCCTGGCGACCAATTCATCAATGTGATTCTTAATTTCTACTCCTCAAAATCTCTCCAATCATTATCCGATTTGACTTCTTCCGTTTACAACTTTCCCATGATACAGCGTGATGATTTCCAAACAGTTGTACGCATGAGAAAAGACGGAAAACCCATCCAAGAATGTTGTGCTGTGTTGAAAAATTATTTTCAATTCGACCCAGCGCTCGTTGGTGGATGTATCCTTCGGCAATTTACGGAATTCGATTGTAAATTAGGACTTCAAGCAAATTCAATTGCCTGGTTCGCACATTATCAGTCATTAAGTTCTGATTTCTTTTCATTACTCATTACAGCCATATTAAACTTTTTACTAGCGACAGATGACGAACAATCAGTTTACTTACTCAAAGAACTTATCCTTTATTACACAAATAAAGGATTTACAGAAATAAGCTCCGAAGTTTTCATAAAAGCGGCTGCTTTTGCAGCAGCGAAGTTATTATTCGCTCACGATTCTACAGAAATGCTCGTTAACCTTCTAAAAGTCGCTATTCAACTTAATAATGAGGTATATACCGATGTATTACTTAATTCTCTCATTACAGTAATTCCTGCAGATACAAGAGTTGACTCGAAATCAGTTCTTCAAACTTTAGAGCCATTATTTTTAAATTTCGATGAAATTGCGCATAATTTGTTTATTGAAGTGACACAGTTTAATTACAACGATGATTACTACGAATTACTCGAACGGCTTGTTCATAAGCTTGTCCAATTCCTCAATAACATATCAATTTCAGACATAGAATTCAAATCTTCACAAGAACAAGATCCACCGCTCAAAATCACAGACACAATGAACATACAGCCTAGTATATTCAACAAGCTCTCAATCGGAATGTCATTACCCTCTCCAGACGTTTTAGATTCTCGAAATGTTTATTTTAAAATACCAGACGATAGCAAAGAGCTTAAAATGTTCTCAAACTTATTTGACAAGCTACCTGAGAATTCTGCGACCGGAGTTCTTTCAATGTTCGCACATTTAATGGATGAAGAATATTCAACTGAAGAATCTCAACTTAAGATCATCGTATTTCTTTCTTACCTCATGAAGGATAAAGATAACATCCCTTTACCAGATAGTTACTTTTCTTATCTCATAAAAAGTCAGATTTTCAGTTCAACGCAAAATGTGTTCGCAACGATACCGTCCGAAATGAAGAAATTGGCCGCGCTAAGAAACGATATAATTACGTGCTTTTTGTCAAATCATCCGCAATCCATCGCTTTATTACTGGACGAATGCAGCCAAAACGTTCTGTTATTTGCAGAAACGATCGGTAGAATACAAGCGCATGTTTCTTTTGAAGAAATGCCAAGCTTTTTGACAAATCATACGATAAGACAAATAACTAACGCTATTTTTACATTAATTACCGCAATACCTGAAGAACCTACAGACAAGGATAAATACTACAGAGCGTGGTCGACTTTATTCTTCTTTATTATCTCAATTTTGGAAGATTTCAAAATTGCAGAACTTTTAACTATCAATACTCGATTTACTTCATTGTTTACAACACACTTATTCCAAAGGAAGCTCGCTCCAATGCTGAAAAACTGTTTAAACAAGTTTTTCTCCTCAAAAATTGTTCCAAATTTGGATTGTGTTGCCAATTTGGTCAATTTCGCTTCTCTTGTATTCAGTTATGCGACAATGAACAAGGATCCGTACGAAGAAGTCGTTTTGGACGTTCTTGAGATTTTATCAACGTCAATAACTCATAATCCAGGCACAGCACAAACTATTTCGGCCATGGTCCCTATAGCGTTCACACATCTGGCCAATTTTCCCTCTACTTTGCTACTTCAGGCCGTATTATCAATGGTTTTGTGCATTTCGATGTCAATGGACGACTTTGAGTTCACCAAACCACAGATTGTGCAGTTAGATGAAGCAATTAAGAAGACAGAACCTGATGGAACAAGCGAACAAACACAATTAATGTTGATTTCAATTTTGGCGCAAAGTAAGTCAGCAAATACATCATCGATGTTCTTAATACATGCTCCAGCGTTCATCATCCTTTTATTGTCCGCATCTTCATCAGATTTGGCAAAAATAATCGTATTTTTTGACAAATTGATCAAATTCTCTATATATAACTGTATACAATGCCACAATGGTGGTTTCGATCTTTTCATCATTGATATGTTAAAGAATTATCCGAATTCTTTTTCATTCAACGGATGGAACTTCCCAATGAACGTTACGGCCGAACAAATCGATACTGTTGTCTTTCCTTTGATCAGATACATGTTTCTGACCAAAACTTCCCTTTTGGTTGTTGAAAGATTTGTTTCATTGGCTGTTCCTTCAGTAGATGAGAAATATCCTGAGATCGCTGACCAGGTAATCACCAAACTAAACCAAACACTTACTTCCGCACCAAGATTACCCAAATTAACCATTGCATTTTCGAATTCTTCGCCAGTTTTCGATTATCCGAACATCCCCATCGAACCATTCAATAATGGAGTAACCTTTGTATTCCAGTGCATGTTTGATCAAGCTTTGACTAGTTTATCTTCAGCTCAGCCAATTTTATTAACAATTCAAGATCAGCAAGGCAACGAAATCATTGTTTTCGCAAATGGAACAACTCTGTTCTGCGAAATAAGGTCTGATGGCCAGTCATCAGCAGCAAATCTGTTTAATAATTTCGAACCTTGCAAATGGGCCTTCTGTTGCCTTATTTTGCATCCAAGAGGAGACTCAATGCGGGTTCAGTTCTCAGTAAACGGAGAACAACCTTCTTTGTTCCATGTCCGAAATCCGAATTTCGTTGGCCCGACTTTGCATGCGACCGTTGGAGGTTTCAGACAAAACAACTGCGAATTATCTCCATTTACGTTCTTCTATTTAGGCCCTTATATGTTATTAGACTACTCATTTACTCCTACCGACATTTTACGTATGTTCAGTGGCGAAATTCTTCAACCAGATGGTACAAACAACCTGATTCCGCTCCAAGAAGACTGGACACAAGAAAGTTATTTCCATACTATTAAGATCATCTCAGAAAGGTATGACTTCTTTTCATGTCTAGTGCCTTTCTTTAAGTTCCACCAGTTCGCACCTCCACATTTCTTAGAGCGAATTGCGGATATTCTCCAACATATCCCGATCGAGTCCAGATTTAACTACTATCCAGTAGTTGCCAACTATTTATACACTCTTCCGACCGAATCATTGACATTTACCTTCTATTCAAGGTTCGTTCCCATTGGATCTAACCTTCCATCAACAGATCTTTTGACACATATCCTATTTAACGTAGATTTATGGATAACAGCTCCCAGCCCACACTTATTACGAATCGCTTCTCATTGGTCGTCCGTTTTAGCCAGCGGTTACATTTCGGTTTTCAAAAAGTGCTACACAGTTTCATCACTTTTGACGATGATGAGAGTTTATTTCTATTACGAGAAAATAGAGACCGAAATCATCTCCACAAGGCCGAGATCTCCTGACTTAGATGTTGCTCAGATCAGGTCATTGATGGACAGATTGATTTTGGCACTGGCAAAAGTTCAGTTCACTCAAAAAGATGTACAAACATTGTGTTCTCATTTGTTTACTGTACAAGATCCAAGACAATTGACGGATATTTTAATGACAGTCAAAGCTTTGAGTCCGTTAATTAAAAATGGAGAAAAAACAGCTTATGATTTACACTTTTTGTTCGTTAAAACTTATTCACAAATTTTTGTAGAAGTTTTACGAACGATTATTTCTCTTTCAAATGGAAATATTGCTCCACACATCGAATTAACGTTGTTTGATATTAATAAACTTCATATCAACAAGCAGACATTCGATGCAGTATTAGAAGATTGCAGGACATATCCGGAGATCTTTCCAATCGCTGCTTTCATCGCTTCTCATCTCGATGAAATTCAAATTCAGGCTTTCGCTGTCACTTTTAGTGATTCAGTGATTTTCCCTGAGAATTCGAACAAACTCACGAAAGTTAAGTATTGGTACATGTTCCCTATAATATGTGCCATCATTTCGCCCATTTCTATTCCTGCGATTTCTGCTGCTCTCTTCGCAATTCTCAAAAATGATTGGCACTTTTCGAAATTTGACGAAATTTGTGTCTTCATTGACAGATTGTCATTTGATGGGTATAATGTGAGACCATTCAGATCATCATTGTTTAACAAACTCGTTGACTTCGCTTTAGAGTCGAAATCAACAAGTTTGCCGTTGAATGTTTTGATGAGATGCGCAAGATATTTCTTGTTTTCGTTCCAACCAATTTTGCATTCAAATAATTTGACAAAAGAATTTGAAATGTCAATTTTTGGATCACAAAAAACGGTTTCAAACGAAAACAAGAAAGAAATGGATATGCTCGATATCCTAAATCTCTTCAAAAACTGCAGTTGCAACTTGTTATTCAGAGTTGATCCCAATTTTGACAAAGATTTATTAACAAAAGTGTCAAAATTATCATCATTGATTCCACAGAATAATTTCAACTCAACTGCAACATTTTATATCGATTTCTTTGACTATCTGGCAAAAAGAGATAGTTTGTCAGAAAATGTCAAAAATGAAGTGATGTCAAAATTGACACCATTAGTTCATCAAGTTGCCATGGTCATGAATGTTTCGTATCAAGATTTCTTTGCTAAAAATTGCAAAATATTGTTCAATTACTTAGAAATCGAACTGAAAAAAGTTGAACCATTACGAGTTATTTCCCAAGAAACTGTTTCTGTTTCGAATGTCGCTTGTTCAATTTATTACGGATCAAACGAAAACAACATTTGGACAAGAGAAATCTGTACTGCAAAGTTCTTGGAAACACATATGAATGAATCATCAATTTGGGCTTTACATAAACCGCAAATGACAGAAAAAGTGTCACATGTTTACACATCAACATTCACAACTCCACTTTATAAACTCGTAGGACCAAGACCTGCAAAAAGAAGAATTTTGACAGTTGTTGGCAAACCGCTTTTTAGTTGTGAATGTTCTATCGTTAGAATGAAAGGAGAATCAAAAGCGACATTTGCTTTATTCAACGATTGCATTCTTCTTAAAACATTGCACAAAGAGATCAAGTATCCTTTGAAAGAACTCGAGTTTGTTCTGCATAGAACAAGAAATGGAAAACTCAGCTGTTTGGAATTTTTCAGAATTGATAACCGCTCAATTTTGATTGATTTCTTTCCGAAATCTCTCAAATCAATTCTGCCAAAACTCTCAATTTTGAATCAAATTAACGGTTGTTTAGTACAATTCCAGTTGTATCCGATCTTCCTTACTAAAAGAGATTCAACAAGCGACTGGGTGAATGGCAACAAATCGAATTTCGAGTATTTGATGGAGTTGAATTTCTTCGGCGGAAGGACAATGAAATGGGCCGGAGCTTATCCAATTTTGCCAAATGTTTTTGCGGATAAAAACGGAAATTTGGATGATAAAACAACATATAGAGATTTCAGGAGACAAAAACATTTCTCTATCCGACCAAATGCATGGTTAAGAACATTCCCTCCTTTCATGCATTTGTTTGAAGACAAAATGCCATCGACATCCACGACTTCTTGCGAATCTACTGGTTTGCATTTCAACCAAACTGATGAAACAAAAACAGATGAAAGCGAGACTTTGAGTGAAAGTAGATTTGAAGAAACAGAAGATGACTTCTCCGAATTGGAAATTTCAATTTCGGATCCTGTGGAATTGACTCCAGAATTTTTCACTTCACCTGACTGTTTTCCAACAACAATTTCAAATGTTTCTGGATTTGATTTCGTCAGGAGAATGCGGAAAGCCTTGGAAAGTCCTTTCATCACTTCCCAGTTGCATCTTTGGATTGATTCAGTTTTTGGAATCGATCAAATGCAAGGAACAAAAATTCCTCAGTTGTTTTCTGTCCCTCATCCTGCCAGAAATTTGCCAAGATTGACATTGGCAGAAAAGTCAGAAAAAATGATAAAAGTTCCTTGTACAAAGATTGTCAAAGGACAAGTTGAAAGTGATGGAAACAATGGATATGTTATAAGAGGATTCAGCTTAGACATTGGTTTGTTTGAATACAGGAACAATGTTTTAACAGTTATCAACAAATCAAATGATCCGAGATTGATTTTTGTTCCTATCCAAAACGGTTGTGTTTTAGTGAACAATCAAGATGCTTCTGCACTTGTCTACGTCAACAAAGAGAAGCACTTGATATCGCCTGTCCCTGAAGCACATTTCTACGGCACTGGATCTAAATACGGAGCTTGTGCAGGTCTCGGAGGAACTGCGTATTTGATTGACGGACAAATTCAGGAATTATTTGGAATTTGTCACGTTTCTCCTGAATTACCAACATGTATCTACACAAGCGGTGAGTTTAAGATTACAGCAGTAGGTGTGAAGAGCGGCAGTGTTATCTTCTATGATTTTGTTCGCGGAACACATATCAGATCCATCAAATTGGGTTTCGTTCCAACAAGAATCATCATTACAAAAGGAATTGGAAGATTGGTTGTTTTCGGAGCATCGGATTTCGTTATTACATCGCTAAGAGGAGAAATAATTGTGCAAACAACTAATAGCGAGTTGTTTGGAATTGATACAACAGCGATTTGCAGCTGTGCAGTCCCTGCTTATTCACCTTACATGAGCGAAGATTGCATTGTTATTGCGGACACAAAAAGAAGAGTTTTCATAATCGATGCAAATGATGGACAGAAATTGTCTGGAGAACCAATATGTGTACTCACTTCAAGACCTGTCTGCGTGTGCGTCGTGGAAGAAGGATTTGGATCATTCACGATTTTCGCTATGGGAGAAGATGGAAAAGTTATTATGAACAGTATTCCTTCTCTCAAATTGTAATTTTATATTTTTTTGTAGTTTATTTATTTTCTTATGTTTCTTAAATAATATATCAATAAATTCGTTAAAATCTATTTGTATTCTATCTTAAAATCATGCCTTTGTATCTAACAAAACATTGATATTCCACTTGGGATCAAAATTCGAAGTGGAATTACTATTGACATTTCTTCAGAAAAGTTCTGGAATTCAGGCTATTATGTTCAGGAAAGTATTAAGGTATTAAATTAAAGTATTAAATGCAGAATCGCATATTTGAAAGTCTCATAAGTAAGCTAAAAACAGAATTTCTTATTCTCAAGACTCATTTGCTTTTAAAAATTGAAATATGTTTTTTATGGATCAATCATTATAATATGTCTGCTCAAATAGATTAAGTAATTCAACATCTGAAAATGTACACTTTTCTGGGATTGTTATCCTCTTTATCCTATCTATTGATAATTTTTTCCTTTGTAAATTTTGTTTTTTTATCAAGTATGAGTGTTTAAAATCAAACCATGCATTATAGAATGTGTCTTAAATCTTTGTGACGACTTAATGGCTTGTGAAAAAAATGAATTTGGAATTTTTATAATTTGGAAAATTTTGGTAATTTAACAAAATTGCTTATCACAATAAATTGGCTTATGCTATTGAAAATTTTTGTCCTGTGAAATTCTGTTTCTTCCCACAATTCCCACAAAATTTAGTAGAAAATTGTGTTAAATTTTACCAATTTCAAGATTTTTATAATTTGTATTATATTTTAAAATGATTTCTGCAATAAAATTAATGTTGATGATGTTCCAAAAAATTGAATGGTTTTTCCGTCCAGTGTTATAGACCGAAAATAGATTTTTTCGGTTTTCTCTTCAAATAATTGAAAGAATGATACTATTATAGGTTTATTATATTATATAGCATATAATCATGCTATAGCCGAAAATTATAAGTTTTGAGAAGATTGAATATAACACAAATAAATTTGAATGTAAGTTAAATTGCTTGTTGTTTTTAATAGCTATTTAATGAGAAATCCAATATTGCAAAATTCAAATTGAATGATTGAAAGAACAGAAAAAGTCATTCTTTTCAATTTCGAATATGTTTCATTGTATTTATAATTATATGGCAAATAAGATATTTAAACTTGATTTTTGAAGGAAAATTCACAAAATTGAATAAATTCAAATAATTTTTATTCAAAAATAAACTAGTTATTTGAGTTTAATACTAATTATCTATTCAAACTACAAAGTTTGTAATTTAAAATATTTTGTGAGATCAGATTGAATTAATTCAAGGTTCTTTTCAATTAATATTAATGACCATATTACGCATTTTCGAACATTCTAAACCAAATATATAAAAATGGGAGACGAATGTTAAATTTGCTAGACATGGGGAAGTTGTCTGCAAAGTTTTAGCTCTTATCTCTAACAAAAAATTAATTTTTAAAAAAATGACCGAATACATTTCACAGCGAGAAAAAATAAAAGGCAAGATAGAATTTTCTAGACATAAAGAAGTTGTTTACCGAGTTTTAGCTCTTATCTCTAACAAAAAATTAATTTTTAAAAAAAAGACCGAATACGTTTCACAGCGAGAAAAAAATAAAACTGTACACTGATTTTCATTTTCATTTCCAGTCACTTTACTTATTATTTTTTCTTTTTTTCATTTTAATTATAAATTATTTCATAATACGTTTATTTACGTTACCATTTTCTTTATTCTTTTGAATTCCATACTAGACACTTATAGAATATTCTGATTGTTAACGTACTTCATTAGAATGAATCCTTACAAAGGGTATGTCGATCGAATTTACCTAATTGGTATTTCCAATCAAATTGAAGAAGGTAAAATAACATGGGAAGAAGCTTGCACCCATGTTCCCATCGCCCCAACCCTTCAATCAAATGATTTCAAATATTTAGATGTTTCAAAATCTTTTTTACAAAATCAATTTAGCTTACAGAATATCCCATTGCCTAAAGGCAAGAAAGGTCATAGGGTCAATCCCTACGACCAAATCAAAGCTCTTGCTGTGATACATGACCACTGGGCCTTTCCCTGTGGTCAAACAAAACAATGGAAACGTTTGAAATTACAACAAATTGATGTATCTTATAGAGAAGTACGCAGATACTTCAAAGAAAATCATTTCACCAAGACGCGATTAGAGCATGCCGGGCCAGAAACAGCAGTAAGATATTGGGCGCTTTCACCCAATCTTATCTGGCACGCAGATGTTCATTATTTTAGGGGTGTTCGTGGCCAGTATATTTATGGCATAATCGACGATTTTAGCCGCAAAGTCCTAGCGTGTATACAAATACCAGATATGCTGGCAGCGACGACAGCGAACGTTGCGGCTTCCACCTTCATTGAATTTGGCGCCCCTTATTATTTCTGGACCGACAACGGTTCAGAAAATAGGGGCGCCTTTCAAGATCTACTTGATCTTTGGGGCGTCCAATGGCGGCATACAGACTCTCATTCTCCCTACCAAAATGGGAAGATTGAGAGATTCTGGCCGACATTGGAGCGCTGTCAAAGCATTCAGGCTATTCCTGCCTTTATTTGGGAGTACAATAATAACACACCGCATGAAGATCTCCTAATTAATCCATTAACTGGAACAAATTACACGCCAAATCAAATGTATCAGCTGAAACCGAAATACACAAATGCAGATACAGAAAGGTTGTGGCAAATATGGGATACAGATACAGGCATGACCGCTGTTGACACATTCACAGCGTAATAATAAACATAATTTTTTAATTTCATTTTTAACAAGTTTTTTTAAATGCATGTAATGAATAATTCATTAGAATATGATAATGCACATTGTAACAGAATAGAACAATCACCAAATTTTTTTTGAAATTAAAAAATAAAAGTAAAAAGTATAAAGTAATCAAACCAAAAAAGATATTTAAAAGAATTTTGGAAAAAACAGAATAAGGATAATGATATTATTTTAGATACACAATCGATGTACTGAAGAATAATCCGGTAAAATGAGTAGTAGGATAGGAAGGGTTGTGTGACTTTTTTTGTTACGTCTATATATAGATGAAGGTATATTTTCACATCTTCTATATATAGATGATATAAAAAATTTTTCTTACGTTTTTTAAGTCATGAATTCGTAAGAAAGCGCGACATTATTAAATAAATTAGTAATAAATATTATATACTAAACACATTTTAAAAAATTAACATTAATTTTAAAATAATTAATTATTTTATCTTTTATAAAAGAAGCTATATATAGATGATGTCAGATATTCCGCGATTAATTAAACATTGTTTAAATCCTGAATGGGTTAAACTTCAATTTAAAAATGAAGATTGTGAATTATTAAATGAATATGAAAGCCAAAATAAGCTAATGAGGTATAAATATAATGATAAAGAATATTTAATTTCATGGAATCAATGGAGTCATAATCAAAGACCTCATAAACGAGAAGAAGAAATTGAAAATAATGAAATGGAAATCATTGATGACATTAAAGAGGATGGAATTCCTAAATTTTGTAGAAAAACCTTTAGAACTAAGTTAGGAGCATATAAACGTAGAGTATTAAATCCTGAATATCTTAAACATCAATTTAAAAAGGAAAACTGTGAATTATTAAACGCTAATGAATATGAAAATGCTAAATCAAAACTGAGATATAAATATATTGGAAGTGATGAAAGATGCAAAGATAAAGATAAAGTTTATTCAGTTTCATATAATAACTGGCACACGTTAGGGATAAGAAAACATTTAGGAGATTATGGGAAATGTTCCGAATTCTTCAAATCTAGTATATACGAGAGAGTAAAAGAAATTAGAAATAATTATTTTCATGAATAAAAGATTCACTACCATAATGAAGTAAAAAATAAACTTCTTACGAAAAATTAAAACTTAGTTATGTTTATTATTTTATTTTTTTATTTTGTATGAAATGAGCGTCAAAACTAACAACGTTAAAAAATTAGGATTCACAAACGAGGAAATAAAGGATATATTAGATGAGATGTGTTATGAAGTTAGTAAATATTATTTAAGAAATTGTCAAAAATTTGCCGAGTTATTAAATGATTTAGATTATGATGGAAAAATGAATAAAGATGATGTTATAAATTTCTTATATCCCACATCTGAAGAAGAAAAACCTAAAGAACCCGATGTTTTCCCTGAATATTATGAAGAACGGATTAAAGATGATGAATACGATGAAATTGAAATTGAAAGACTGGAAAAAATAAGAGATGAAATAGATGAAAAAATTAAGGAATTAAGAGAAGTTGAAAAATATAATGAAAATGAAGTAGAGGGTTTAATGAATATCCCAGCTTCAGAATCAGCAGTTCAGAAATCTCATGAAGAAAGATATAAAAATTATGTCTCAGAATCAACACAAAATTTATTAGATGGCGAAATAGATGAAACACTTTCAGAAGAAGGTACTAAATTTATACGTAAACATAAGTTACAATTTATTGATAATGAAAAATACCCTTGTATCTTACTTTCACCCCCTCTCGATTCTGAGAAATTCAAAAAAGCTCTTAAAAACGTGACATATGCAACTAATACGATTAAGAAAGAAGATCATGATATTTACACAAATTATTATTTAAATAAATGCACAGGTGTTGATAAAGTTTTTGATTTATTAGATAAAATATCAAAAGAAACCATTGGAACCTATAAAATTTTGTGTGATTGTGGTTTCATTATTGAAGATACTAATAATGTTTCATATGAAAGAACAGCACCGAAGGAAGACGAAGTTGAAAGGTCTATACCATTCGTTATTAAGAACATAAAAGATATGAAAACTTATAAACATTATATTTATTCATTTATTTCAGAAAAAATGGAAGCAACCCATAAAACATCTTCTCATCATTTTATAGCTATTCATACATTCCTTTTCAAAGTTGTGAAATTAAATAAGACGGGAATTAGATTTAATGTATCAGGGTACGCATTCTTGAGTAAATTA